TACTTTTACTTCAGTAAGATTTTGAATGCAGGATTTTAGTGGAGTATTTTCACAGTGATAATAGTACTTTAACATAAGAATACTTGTGAAATACTTCTTCCAACACTGGTTGCTGGTATATGTTACTCTTGTTAAAGGTTTCCCCCTGAATCCAGTCTTTATGCTACGTTACAATAGGGGAAACACTAACATGGTGTTTAGCCTATTGTAACGTAGCATAAAGACTGGATTCCGTCATCAGACCTTCACTCAAAATTCCATACGGAAACATGCTCCTAGAAAATACATGTCCCTGGAAGAGTGCTCTTTTAATTCGACATTAAGTCTGCACATTACAAATAGTGCAATATTTTGGATGTTTTGTCTGTGCTGGTAATTTTCAGTGACTTCTTTATGTGTTACCTTATGTGTGATTAAGCAAATATTTTCAGTCAATACAAAACGTGCATGTCCTTGTATTTAGTTACACCTAAGTGATTTCCTCTGTGTTTCTAGTCAGATTATTAGGAGAGTAATGAGAATAAAATTTTCTCCTGGGGAGCATACTACTGAATGGTTTCATTTTCACTATGCACGACTACGTTGCCACTTGCCAGTAATTTAGTGCTGTCCCCGCTATAAAGCCCGGTTCAGACCAAAGATTCACAGTGAGATGAGTTTAAAACTCAACTACTTGCAATGCGCCGTTCTGCAACGTTCTAAAAAGCTGACGGTTCACACCAATGCAACTAGATGAGACGGCGTATCATCTCTATGCAACAACTCTCTGTTCTGTTTTCCAGCTTTTCAGGATTATTCTGTGGCTGAATATAATTTGTAGCCTCTTAAAATATGAATGAGGACAGTGTTAGTAACATACTGGCTTCAGCTGCATTTGTAGTAGTGATGAAATGGCGAAAAACAGAAACAAAACAAGCGTCAAATGGTCTGTATTCCTAATAAATATGCCGCAATAATATTAAAAAACAGCACTAATTTATCAGTCACTGAAAATGTGTGTGTTTGGGGGGGATGAGGACATACAGCGAGCAGCAGCATTTACTCACCGTCTGACACCGGCACACGTGAGGACGGAAACAGAGGGATCAGTAGGGGGAGAGCAACTGCCTGCGATTATTTTGACTCGACCGGCGGACTTCACTACAAGCTGATTTGCTGTAGAAACAGGTGATGTGTTTTATGTTCTAAAACCAGCTGTCGGCGATTTGACCAGCTGAGTTGCAGGTGACACCATCAGCCGGCTTGAGTTGTGCTCAGACTGCCAGTTCACACTGCTGCAGCTTTTCTCTGCAATGTTCCAAAATGGTTTTGTCTTGTTGTGAATCATTTGTCTGAACTGGGCTTAAAGGGATAGTGCACCCAAAAATGAAAATTCAGCCATTATCTACTCACCCATATGCCGATGGAGGCCCTGGTGAAATTTTAGAGTCCTCACATCCTTTGTGGAGATCGGCTGGGGGATTTGCTAGCACACCTAATGGCTGACGGCGCCCCAGACTAACGTCCAAGAACACAAAATTGAATCCACAGAGTATCTCCATACTGCTCATCCATAGTGATCCAAGTGTGCTGCAGCCGCGACATAAAAAGTTGTTTCGAAAAACGTCATATGAACTCTGTTTTTAGCCTCACTGTAGCCTGTAGCTATGACTGCTTCTCTGTGCTCCGCGCTCACGTGTGCGCGCTCAGGGTGATCAGTGATCTCTGAAGAGCAGCAGTCTTGTCAGTACTGATGTCCAGATTCTCAAGTGCAGGCATCGCCAATTCCCAGTCTGAGCAGCAAAGACTTTCCTCATCCATTGGCATTGCTTTGCATTTGAAACAACTACACTACCAGGTTTCCAGTGCTTGACTCTGGTATTCTGTTGCTGGCTGAGGGTTAGGCTCATGAGCTGCGGTGGCTGCTTCGTCCAGTAGCCTGAGTTCCGTCCGTATACTCGGGCTCAAATAAATACAGCTCAACAAAGAAATACTGTTCCTCCTCAATTTCAAAGTCTTCAGACATGTTGGGCTGTCCTTTGCTAAAAGACCGTAGTGCAAATTATCTTTTAGCTACTGTGGTTACATTGTCTCTCCCTGTGGTGCATGTGTCACGTGATGTAAACACGGGTGAGCAAAGCTCATGCTTTCGCTGGTCTTGTGCAAGTGCGCACATGTGAGCGCAGGGCACAGAGAAGCAGTCAGAGCTACAGGCTACAGTGAGGCTAAAAACAGAGTTCATATGACGTTTTTCCAAACAACTTTTTATGTCGCGGCTGCAGCACACTTGGGTCACTATGGATGAGCAGTATGGAGATACTTTGTGGATTCAATTTTGTGTTCTTAGACATTAGTCTGGGGCGCCGTCTGCCATTAGGTGTGCTAGCCCCTGCCCCCACCGATCTCCGCAAGTGTTGTGAGGACTCTAAAACTTCACCAGGGCCTCCATCGGCATATGGGTGAGTAGATAATGGCTGAATTTTCATTTTTGGGTGCACTATCCCTTTAAGCCCCGTGCCCCCGTGGATGTTTGTTCTGCACTCCAGCAGTGTACTGAATGAGACTGACATTGATCTCATCTCACTCTCAGGAAGGAAGGAAATATTTCTTAAACTGCAGCACATTGACTCTAATGACTGTTAATTTCATCATATTGTATATATTTCTCTGTGCAAGTGATCATTGACATTCAGCTGTATTGACACAGGCAGGAAGTGATGTGTGCCTCTATAGCTGCGCCACACTGAGCCCCCTGCGAACGGCTTCATATTTACGAGCCAATTATCTCTCTGAGGGAAGGTTGTCGTGACCATGGGCCTCTTGAGCATGTTATAGGAAGGTCAACGTTGTCGACGGGGGCTAATTAAGCAACCATCGCTCGAGAGGCAGTCGAGTGAGTCACCCGGTACTTTCCTCATCAGAAGAATGTCTTGTTTCTTGAATTCAAGGACATATCTGCTTCTCAAAGCGGAGACAGTTTCCTCGAGCGTGCTTGACCCACTTCACAAACACTTCAGTAATGCCCCCTGGTGGAATCTTCTTCATGTTCGGGATCACTTCTTTTGTAATTCATGTTTACAGTTAAAGGAGTGCAGCATGATTCAAGGTTAAAGAGAGCAGAAGCTCCCTCCAGCAAAAACACTGGTGGAAGATAATGACCTGTCAAAGGCCAGAAGATTTGGTCTCCTTACATCATCTTTGAGGTGAGAGACTTCTCGTCATGGTCTGCCATCGCAATAATCCCCTCGCCTGTAGCTCCATTAGGCAATGAAACAAGTTGTCCGACTGTGGGGCTGGAGGGGGATAATCCAGCCTCAGCTGCCACCATCCAAACCTTTTGAAACCTCTGTCAGTTTATGGGGACTTCAGACGACCCTTTCCTCTCTGACCCTTATTGATTCGGGTGTGCACTGCACCCTCTTCAACTCTCCACCACCACCACACACACACACACACACACACACACACACACACACACACACACACATGCTGTCTCCAAAGAGCTCAGGCCCTCGAGCTACAACACTGGGGTGCCGTAATGTTTCAATTACTGATGCCTGTCATTGTCTGGGTGTGACAGGGGAGGACATTTGAACAGTCTGGCTCCACAACTATACATTTTAGAAATATTATCCTAAGTCTCATTAGATTTTTCCATCAATATTCTTTGCTATTACTATTAAATAAAACAACTTTATGTGAAAGTGAAAAGAGGCACTTGTGGTGTCACAATCACTGAAATTTATCACTGACTCTGCAGCTTACAGAGTTATTTAGCTTCTTATAGCTCATAGTTTTGGTTCTATGTCATATTTACTGTTTCGTCAGTTTCACTGCTCAAACAACAGACAGATACAGAGACTAGCTGGTGAACATAGCCGAGCATGTAGGAGCTAAAGAGACAGATATTTCAAATGAGTTCAATTTAGTTCAGTTCAATTCAGTTCAACTTTATTTATCCTGAAGGGAATTCTTGTGCCAGAGAATGCTTCAAATTACAGTTACACTGAGTACATTAACCAAAATTTTAACAACTCACAAACAGTACCAACAAGACAAGCAGCCAGTTCCCCAGGCCAGGGCCACTCACTGGGCCCAGTATTAAATATACAAATACACAAGATAGAAGTGTTTTCATGGAGGAGAAGCAAAAGCCAGTGCCTAATAGAGTAACAATAAGAATAAGATAAGTACAAGAGTTACTAAAAGTGAACTGAAATGGGTGAAAAAACTGACTGCTCCTGATAATCAATGTTAGAAGTTGGTGGAGACCAAAACTGGAGCTAAAAAGCAGTGGTGGAGGAAGAACTTAGATTTTTTGTGTAAGTAAAAGTAGCAATACTACATTGTAAAAATACTCTGTTAGTAATACAAAAGTATTATAATAAAAATATACATAAATTAACAAAAGTGAAAATAGTCATCATGCAGAATTATCCATTTCAGAATAATATGTGTTAGATTACTGAATAGTAATTAAAGAGATAACTTGTTTCATTCATCACTTTAATGTTGCAGTTCATTTAAAAGGTCAGGTTAATTTAAAACTGAATTATAAACTGATGGGTAGCTCAAAAGTGTAGTGTGTAATGCCTGGCCACATGCTCCAAAATAATAAGGGGCAGCATTTCACCTCCAAGAAAACAAGTAAGTACAAAGTCTCTTAGCTTTTTTAGTCTGATAAATGGACAAAATAAACTCACAAAATGTCATAAAGCAAATGTTTTCACACCTATTTTCCTGTAATTAAACGGCATTAAAATTAAAATACAACAGCACACCTTCTGAATTCAAGTTTCTTCCTTTTACCAACAAAGACCAGCCTAATGCTAACTGAATTGCCTTGTTAACACATTGTAAAACACACTTTATGCAGACTTAGTTACCACACCCCTCCACCCCCCCCCACCCCCAAAAAAGCAGAAGCTTGTTCTTCAGAGGCAGACTATTAGTAAAATAAAATGACAAAAATAATTCAATTATAATATAATTCATATTTTTTTCATATGCATATAGCTCATTCACTTGTGACAATTTAATTTTTATGCTATGCAATAATAAGAAACAGCATGTTTCCATCATACATGACTCACTGTAACAGATGCCATGAGACAAACATAGCTCCACTCATTTCTGCAGAGGGATCAGAGGTCAGGGACAGCCGTCTGAGCAGATGGAGGTCCGGCACCTTGCTCAAGGACACTACAGCAGGGACAGTGGGATGTTTTATGTAGCCTCAGATATGACTGTGAAAATATAAACAAACCCTCACAAGGTCGCTCCTTCAACCACTCTCTGAGCAGCTAGAACCCCAAACAGATGTGGTCTGTCTGGGATCAATACTCAGGTCTCCTTGCTCCTCCTGAGTCCATGTCACTCACCGGTTGCTCGTCCATCAGTGGCTCATTTCTGTGAAAAGCTCCGTTTCTATGGAGATCAAGGACACAGGTTAGTTTCATTTCAATTACTGCAGTTGCATGCAGGCATGTAGGGAAAAAATATTTAGCTAATTGAAGTTTATCTGCTGTTTTTTTAAAGCACAGATGGTTCAGTATTGAAAATTGAGCTCTTTTTTGTCCAACAGACCTCAGGATGACTCATGACATAAAAAGCAAACCAATGATGTGTTTCGGTTTATTGCCAGCAATCATTTTGTTCTGAGTGGGAGTCAATTTTCTGAAAATGGCAGTTTGTAAAGTCCTCATTTAGGCTTTTTATATAATTGTCATAAAATGTTGTGATATTGTAAATTGTCAAAATGTGTGCTGTTGTGATGATGATGATGATGTTGGTTGCTATAGCAGCTGAACTGGCGATGCTCCGTTATGACCCCCAGTTCACCCTGAAGCTGCCTGAGGCTGCCAAGATCAAACTCAACAGGACAGACATTTACATTACATTTATTTAGCTGATGATTTTATCCAAAGAGACTTACAGTAAGTGCATCAAACCATGAGGGTACAACCCTTAAGAATGCAGGAATTAATCAAGCAAGTACATTGCTGAACTAGTTCAAGTGTTGCATTGAGGAACATGAGATTGAGAGTTAGTTTATTTTTTTATCTTTAGCACATCTTCAGTCTGAAGATGCGTAGAGTTTCTGCTGTCCTGATGCAAAGAGAAGTTTGTTACACCACTGGTAACCAGGACAGCAAGCAGTTGACACTTTGTTGAATGGAAGCCAGGCCCCCTTCATATTGAGGATGAAGCAGAGCTTAGTGAATGGGCTGGGGTGTATGGTTTGACCATGTCCTGGATGTAGGATGGGCCTGAGTCATTCCCAGTGGGCGATTACCAGTGTCTTGATTAGGACTGAAGCTGCCACTGGGATCCATTGCAGCATGCAGAGGAGCAGTGTAGTAAGAAAGCTGTTTGTATGCTGTAGTATGTTTTCTTCCACTGGTTCCAGTGTATTCAGTCATATAATTTAAGAGGAGTGGGTTAGGCTGCAAGAGTTACAACAAAAATGCTCTGAAAATTTTCAAATGTGAAAAATTGAGGCAGGTGTGTCCAAAGTGTGGCCCAGGGGCCAATTGCGGCCCAGGAAACGATTTTAAACGGCCCGCAGCTTGTTGTTCAAAACAAACTACATGTGGCACACTGCAGAATACTGGGTAATCAAGCAAGAACACTTTGCATTTTTCCATTCACCTCATGATGGCAGAACCAGAACTCTGATTCTCTGCCTGAGCCTGACAGGGCCTGACCCATCTTGCCAGGTTCGGACTGGGCTGGGCTGTAATTTCTCATTTTGGCCCCTGGGCTTGAAGTGGGTCAGGCTCTCATCAATTTAACAGTGGGTTTTTTATGTTTGTTTTTATGAAACTGGCAGTTCACACGCGTAAATGGCAGGAGTTTTAATGGGCTGAATGAAGCAGGAAAGGGGGGGCTGAGAGGGAGAGTGACAGAACGATGGAGCAATAGTGGAGAACCAGGGGAAAGAGAGAGCGCACTCAAGAGAGGGACAGAAACAAGAGACAGACAGAGGGGCTACAAGGCAACTTGGTTGGCAGTGTTTCCTTCTGCCTCCTCAGCAGTGGGAGAGATGTGCCTTAACATGCAGCAAAGAGCGGTGATCATCATCTGCGCCCCACATCACCATGGACACATCACATCATCCAATCTGACCCCCATCCAAAATAAGTTTGGACACCCCTGAGTTAAGGTAAACATCATATTTTATTGTGGTGGTCATAAATTCCGATTGACCACAGCCGCTGTTTACGAACTTTCCACAGCCACCTTAAACTTCTGGATGGAACCTACAATAGAAACACTGCTCCTTTACGTGGTGGTTCCTTTAACCATTTAAAGTGAACCATATATCTGATGCATACTGAACACCTCCCTGTGGAGGTATTCCAGCCACATTAAACTGATAGGAGCGACCAGAATGCACTGGAGAGATCACAAATCCCATCTGGCCTGGGAACGCCTCAGGATTCCCCAAGAAGAGCTGGAGGAAGTGTCTAGGAAGAAAGACAGCTGGGTTTCCTTGCTTAGCCTGGTGTCACCATGACCCACAGCTGTATGGATGCAGTCATGGTAACATCACTATAAAGAAGTTCAACAGGCAGCTGAGATCTAAGAATGCAGTCAGTTTGTAAACCAATGTCAAACTAACTTTGGAAGAGAAAAATGAAGGCAAACAATTAATTTATGACCGAACTGTTGGTTGTATATGTCTATCACAGTTTACAGACTGACATTCGGTTTAGCTTTGACCTACTGTACATAATGCATTTGTGTTTCCTGTGCCATGAGGCATAACAGATAGTTCGTCTGTACTCACAAACCAGAAAATAAGCCCCCAAATTGTGATTAATTCAAATTATCCTTTAAAGGGATGATTTAAAGAGAATAATTGGGGCATTGGTTTTTAAGTTTCTTCCTGTCTGCTTTTTTTCCAGGACCACTGGACCCCTCCCTCCACCCCCGACTGCTCCCTCAGCCCAATGGCTCAGGTGTTGCTCTGCGCGGCCTTGTGGAGGTTTCTTTCAGTGATTCGTCATGCCCTCGGCTGGGCTGCTGCTGCTGCGCCGGCGCGTGCCAGCTCAGAGGAGGGCCGCGCCTGCTCGCCAGACGGCCTGCTCAACCCAACAGCCTGCCGCTGTCAGCCAGGGGCCCAGGAGTCAACGTCGGCCCTGGCAACCGGTCCCCTGCCCTGCCCCATCCAGGGACAAGAATAGGCAGCAGCTCTCCCCCTGACACACACACACACACACACACACACACACACACACCTCCTTCCTCTCTGCAGGCTTTTCATTAGCTGCAGTCATCAGGAGGTTAAGACTGAATGAGACAAGTGGAGGGGTTTGAACCGAACACACACACACACACACACACACACACACACACACACACACACACACACACACACACACACACACACAGGGTCAACCTTTTATTTTGCCAAACAGATAGTAATATTCTAACATTAAGGCAGTTATGGTGAAAGTAATTCTGCAATAAAAGGCATAATGACATTATATTATAATAATTCATTTACATAATTATGCTCCCGCTTCCTGCAGCGGTAAGGAGACGAGCTGCTGCGACCTCTGATGACCTTTCTGCAGCTGCTGAGGGACTCAAACACCTTCACAGCCAAAATCTGAACCAGAGCCCCCAACATGGTCCCTGAACGCAGCAAGACTGAATTACATGTGGCTTCATTTCCTGTGAATCTCATGTGCGTAGGTGGCAATTTAAATCCCAAGAGGGACGGAGGACCCCACCACTAACAGTGAAGTAATTACAGAATACACTGAATAGGTGTTGTATCAAAAATTGCATATGATTTCATCACAGTGGTGAGGAATATAGAATTGAGGCTTAAAGTTAAAAGCTTTACAAACTACTAAGGGCTGCCCTTTGGTTCTGCAGTAGCTGTTTAATGTATTAACATTAAATGACCTCTCTAGTTTTGTATTGTTGGTGATAAGTCCGCTGTTCCTTTTTTTTTTTAATTCGGGTTGCCTACACACGCATTCTTGTACTTCTATCTTTGTGAGGACCCTCGTCAACATAATGCATTCCCTAGCCCCTTAACCTAACCTTAACCATCACAACTATATGCTTAACCCCAACCCTCACCCTAACCCTAACCTGAACCTTAAAACTAAGTCTTAACCGTCAAACAGGCCTTTGAAGAAGTGACGACCAGCCAAACTGTCCTCACTTTCCAAGATGTCCTCACTCTGTTGCTCAAATAGTTTTGGTCCTCACTATGTAGCATGTACAAGTAACTACACAAACAGGATTCACAGGAAACATTACAGCATGTAATCAACATTAGTGTGTGTCATTTTATCCAACTGATATCAGCTTAAATGTTTACAGCCATACCAGAGCTGCGTTAAGTTACTGCTAAAGCTTACAACATTTTCTGCTACTGCTGCTTCGAATTGAAAGCTGGCAAAACACAGGGCGGCTTTTAGGGCGGTGAAGAAGCCACAGGGAAATGCATAGTACAGTATGTGTCACTGACTGACTTTTTTATTAAAACAATATGTTTGTTTGGTTGTGCTGTAAACTGATTCGCCTGTTCAACAAGTGTTTGCTGTAGTATTGAACTAACACTTGCTGTTGCTACAGCAACTGTGGGTGATGCCGAATCAACCAGCACTAACATCTACAACTTTAAGATTTTAAATTAATATTCAAACCTGAGTGCTGTTAGAACTTTGATGACTGCAGTCCACATTTTTAACAGCAATTTCTATGAGTGCAGTTTGCACTCATTAAGTTTCTCTTTGTGTAGAAGATCAACTAAATGTTTTAAATTAAATTACATCTGTGTTCATTTCTTAGATTCCTTTATAGGCAGGCTGTCCGTCTGTCCTTTGTTAATCCAACGCTATTGGTTCACATGTACACATCTCTGCATTGATGCTAAACAGGCGTTTGTTTCACGGCTGACTGTGAAGCACGATTTCTGCAGACAGAGAGAGACAGGCTTCAGTTTGCTCATTAGAAATTCATTCTGAACAGCTTGTTATTATCTTTGGCCTCTGGATGTGTGAATAGATTTACAAGCATTAGGACCGGGGCATTGTGTGGGACATGTGTGGAGGAGGTCCTGGCCCCTTTGTGTTTGCCAGGGCCCTCAAATCAGCTGCATCCCCCTACCAAACACACACACACACACACACACACACACATCACCCCCCTCTCCTGCCCCACCCATTACCTCAACGCACTGAACAAAAGCTTACAGAACACACTGATGTTTTGCAGGATTTTAGAAATTACAGAACAGACGTGTGCTTTCAACCACAGCAGATGCAAAGAGCTGCTCACCAATTTCTACCACAGCTTCCCCAGAATCTGAAACCTGTCAGTGCTAACCCAGTATAAACCCAATAACAAATGACTTTATGCAGTAACTCACATTAAAATGTTTGAGGTTTGCAGGGACAAAA